GTTTCTACACGATATGTATTTTACATATGTGCTGTCACTTTTTTACATATGGAAATCGAACTCGTCATGTGAAACATACGGAAATTTCAATGTGTCAAAACGATATGCAATTACATATGTATTTTTTCCGAATAGGACGCGCTCTATTTTCGTATGTGAAACATAAGGAAATCAGCTGTTTGAATGAAAAACATTGTTGGAAGAAAATATTTCAATTGTAATTCAAAAAAAGGATGAAAAGGCAACAATTACAAATTATTATTTCGTTTGTAGGTGTTTAATAAAAAAAATGATGTTGATTTAAGAAAAAATAAAAGTGCTTTTTTGTTTATAGGTTATGTCATATGTAAAATACATATGCCGATTTGAACACAAAAATAAATGTTTTGTGTACACTGCTAAGTCAGTAGTCACACGGGCAAATTTTGTGGTAAAGTAAAATGAGTTTATGGGCGAAAGAGGTGAGAGGAATAAAAGGGGGTACATACATACTTGTACTCCGCAATTCTCTTTTGTTTCGTTATTCGTTGTAAACAACTGAAGTTGGCTGCAGAAAAGTTTTGCATTTTCTTTCATTTTATGTTTTCTGTCGGCAAACAAACGCCAAGGCAGTTAATAAAATTAAAACCTTTTGCGAGGAAAAAAACACATAATGTGTCTGTCGAGTAATTCAAGAGTTCCTTTTATAATTTCTTTTTTTTTCGGTAGTGTTTGGCGGGTTATTTGGGATACCACTTGTATTTTGTTTTTGCAAAATAGTCAGGCTTAATCCCAGTTTGTTGTTTTTATAAAAAACAACTATTTATTAGTGGGGAATGTATGGCATTGTCCGCCGAGGGGTAAGGCAGGGAAGACTATAGTTTCGGATCTCGCCACTGATCCTCATCAGTTCCCTTAGTTTTTTGTTGGGATATTCTCCCCAGAAGCTATTAATAGCTTCTTTACAAAAAACCTTTCAAACCCAAATGTCTCTTGAGACAATTCGAAGTTCTTACGTTACCAGCGATACGACCCCAATGAGAAGTTCGTTTCGTTGGCGCCTGACTTCGTGGTCAACAAGGCATTTACAGACAACTACATTACATTTCCCACTGCACATTGTGACGAATGCACATAACGTTGTTGTTGGTATTGCTAGTTAAAGCAATAAACCAAACAGTATGACCGTGCCTCGTCTACAACTTCAGTAGTGTTTGGCGGGTTATTTGGGATACCATTTGTATTTTGTTTTTGCAAAATAGTCAGGCTTAATCCCAGTTTGTTGTTTTTATAAAAAACAACTATTTATTAGTGGGGAATGTATGGCATTGTCCGCCGAGGGGTAAGGCAGGGAAGACTATAGTTTCGGATCTCGCCACTGATCCTCATCAGTTCCCTTAGTTTTTTGTTGGGATATTCTCCCCAGAAGCTATTAATAGCTTCTTTACAAAAAACCTTTCAAACCCAAATGTCTCTTGTGACAATTCGAAGTTCTTACGTTACCAGCGATACGACCCCAATGAGAAGTTCGTTTCGTTGGCGCCTGACTTCGTGGTCAACAAGGCATTTACAGACAACTACATTACATTTCCCACTGCTATGTGTCGTCACATTGTGACGAATGCACATAACGTTGTTGTTGGTATTGCTAGTTAAAGCAATAAACCAAACAGTATGACCGTGCCTCGTCTACAACTTCAGTAGTGTTTGGCGGGTTATTTGGGATACCATTTGTATTTTGTTTTTGCAAAATAGTCAGGCTTAATCCCAGTTTGTTGTTTTTATAAAAAACAACTATTTATTAGTGGGGAATGTATGGCATTGTCCGCCGAGGGGTAAGGCAGGGAAGACTATAGTTTCGGATCTCGCCACTGATCCTCATCAGTTCCCTTAGTTTTTTTGTTGGGATATTCTCCCCAGAAGTTCTTACGTTACCAGCGATACGACCCCAATGAGAAGTTCGTTTCGTTGGCGCCTGACTTCGTGGTCAACAAGGCATTTACAGACAACTACATTACATTTCCCACTGCTATGTGTCGTCACATTGTGACGAATGCACATAACGTTGTTGTTGGTATTACTAGTTAAAGCAATAAACCAAACAGTATGACCGTGCCTCGTCTACAACTTCACTTTTTTCTTTTAATTCCATTTTTTAATTTTCATGAACAATGGTCAAACGAGAAAATGAGTGTGTGGAAGAATAAGAAAATTCATAAATTTGAATCAAGGGTTATTTGCGTGTCTAAACAACTATGCAATTTTTAAAGAAATTGAGAAGAAAATTTGTCATGAAATTTTGCACGTGTGACTACTGACTAATTTTGACACACATAAGGAATTACATATGGATCAAATAAGTGACAGCACATATGTAAAATACATATCGTGTAAAAACACCATAATCTAAATTGGGACTATTCGTGTTTTGCAATTTTTGTTGGTTGCGAACCACCCTTTGAAACCATGCTTTTTTCCCCTTCAACTCAACGACCTAATGCCATGTTGTGACAGGCATTCGAACAATGTAGTTCGCTCTCAGAATTACGTACATGAATTAACCCGTTCATACAACACTATTCTTAATTCATGTCATCAGAGTTTTTTATTTCAAACATTTTGTTTCTTGTTTTACACCAAAATTCTAACATATTTGCATGAATCACATATGGATCTAAATAGAAAAATTAATTCTCTTTCTCCTGACTATAGTATGAACCCTTATCTATTTACTTTTAATTCATAATTTCCATTTTTTCTGAAAATATTGTTGTTTTCATACATTTTTATATTTTCTAAATTCAAATGTCACATATAAAAATTTGGAGAATTTTTGTTTGAGTTTCCCCAAATTTATTTCTTGTTTTGTACGCTATTTAGAACCAAGAGGAAAGAAATTTATATTGCATTATGTAGATAACAAAATTTACATCCTGCTGCATATATAAAAACTAGACAATTTTTTACTTTTCATTCATCATTTTCAATTTTACTAAAAAAGTTTGAAAATTTTATAAATATTTTCAAGCTGCCAAAATTAATTTATTTTCGATAAATGCTCTTAATTGTTAGGGATGGGACAAATTTCTTGGTTATTCAGAGAGTGATTCGAATTGAACTACGTACAAAAATCGGTGTTCGCTCAGAAAATTTTGTATGGGGAACTTGTAATTACTTCATAATTAAGGGTCGAACAACGAATTGAAAAGAAACAGAAAATTTAATTTTAATACAAATTACATTAAAAAAAGTTCGATCTCTCATTCGTTGTTCGGCCTTAAATTATGAAATTATTGCTTAAAGTGCATGTACATATTGTTACGTTCTTGGGTTTTACTAAATCCCGTGTAGACGTTGTTTTATTTCCCGATACAATTCGTACCAAATAAAACGCAGGTTCTTTCGGATTACGATTATTACAATGATTTTATTCACACAACTTTACTTTGCACTTTACTTTACTCGACGGTTTCAATTCGCGATCTGATTCACAACTGACTCACTGCCTTTCCATTTCCCCTATTTATATGAGCCTCGCTTGTCGCTACAGAAGTTTCTAGACGATCTGGTAACGCCTAGATCACGAACAATCTACCAATGCAACAAACACACATACAAACTTACATTGAGTAAAAAATAACAACAACACATATACAGGCGAGGTAACAAAGAAAGAGGGTAACAAAGAAAGAGGAATTAAGCGATCATCAATGATGACGTTTAACAAGAATTGTACGACAATAACAAAATAGAAAATGAAAGAGGAAATGGAAGGATGTAGAAAAATCTATACAGTAGTTGTTGTTGTGAAGTTATTCAAATAAACTGCGTAGTAGAAATTTACGTTACAGTTAAAATTCTTAAATTAACGGAATTCATCTAAATTAACTTAAATCTAAAGTTATATTCGTAACAATATAATAGACAAATTTAGGACTGTAGGATTTAAGACTGTATCGTCACTTATATCCCAAAACCGCAAAAATTGCAAAAATAAATGATAATTACAGTGTCATTTATTTTAAACAAAGCACGAAAACACCATAAAATACTAAAATTACCATTAAATGAGTCGCTCGGTGCACATAGATTACCACATGGTACAATTATTCAAATTAGGCAATAGCTACTTGTAAATTACAATTTTTTCTTTACTGTGGCTTGTTATGCCAAAGTCATATACGAAATGTGTGATTGTGTGTGTAATATTTTGAAAAATATAACAAAATATATTCGAAAACCGATTTGTTTGAAGATGAATTTTACACCATTTGTAAGAAAAAACTTATGATTTGTGCATAAATAGTCAAGAGAATATCATATCTTCAACTCGATTTTGAAAAGAAAGCCTGACATTCCATTTATTTATCGCGTTTTTTGGTAAAATGTTAAACATATGTTAAATGAACACAACGACTTGTTGCATTCGTTTGTCTGCTTTTCCACATTTTTATTTGGCAAATTTTTTGTTTTCTCTTTTGAAATTTTCGTTTGCTTTTCCATTAGCAAATTTTTCTTTGCCAAATTTGCGAATCAAAATACAAAAGAAAGAAATTAAAAGTCAAAAGTGTTTGCATTTTTAAGTTTTTTTTAATATTTTATTTATTTTTTATATATTTTATTATATAAATTGCAAAAATTAAAAATTAAATTTCACTTGCACAAATTAAAGCAACAGGTTTGTAAACAAAAGCCGGCTGTGTGTCAGTAAAGCGAATAGGTTCAAAAGGAAATGTCAACAAAATTGTTTTCAACGAACAGAGCAAAGCCTACAAACTCAGTATTTGCCAGATAAAAATTTGTCTGTGGAAAAGCCGACTAATTCTGAGAGCGAACTACGGTGTTCGAATGCCCGTCAGAACATGGCATTAGACTTTTCAATACAAAAAGTCGATTAATCGATTAGTCGATAGTCAATTTACTTATCCCTATACCATGCATGGGTCTGTTTTGTTTTTACTTTAAAGTCGCGGAATGAAATAGAATTTACAATAAAATAAATAATATTTACAATAATAAACATGCTTAAATTGTTCCTACGGCCTTCACAAGACGTCATATTTCTCAGCAATGTATATTCACAAACCCTTAGAGTAAGCTAATATAAAGAAGTTACATAAACCTCTGTGATCATGGTTGAATTTTTAGAATTTTTCAGGTGGTTTCACGAAATTGGCGAAGGCGGAGAAGGGGAATTGGAGCACAGTAAATGATTCTGAGAACAAACCAAAGGAGGCTCTAAATGTAGGAATATATAAAATTGTGGATAAAAAGCCTTTATGGGAGCCAAGTCCATGTTTGGAGAAGGGTCAGCTCATTGATCAGTACAAAAAACTATCGAAATTCAGATTAACAAGTATGATACTATTTTTATAACATCTATGAAATAAGGGTCAGTTTCGCAATATCGATGATACGAAAGCAAATATCGCTATAGTAAGACATTGTGAAACTGGCTTTTATTTGATTTTTATAATGCCCTATAAATTTACCTAAATAGTTTTGGGATTCTGTGACTAGATATTTACAACTTTTGTTTTTATTTGGTTTAGTAATTTTGTCACTAAATTAATGTCAATACTGATAGTTTTGGCATTGACATTACTGATAGTTTTGACCAGGTAACAAATTCCCTTCCCACCCCTCAAAAAATCAAAATTTCCGGGCAGATATCAAACTTGACAATTCGTTAGAATTCACTTCCAAACGGAAGCATTGCGTGTGTTTAGGCTTTGGTGGGATTTGATGTTTCCTCTAAACTGATAATGTATTTAGCGTAGAACACGATGTAAAATAAACTTGACATTCATTGGATTCTTCGATTTCCATTTTTCTAGTAGAAATCATGGACAATGGATATACAAAATGGGAGCAGGGACCTTCGAGATTCAGTGAAATCATATATGTATATTTCTTGTAAAGGGAATGTGTCTTAAGACTTTAACTCATTTGGCGCCATCGTCCTTTTAAAAGAACGCCGAAAATGGCAATAGCACTATCAGAAAACAACCGTTATCTCATTGAATTTCTGTAAATGATTTAAATTTATTGTTGTATCTGGTTCTATACTCTCCTAGCTAAAACAACAATTTATTCAAAAATATAATAAAATATTTAAGTTTTAAAATTAAATTTAAGATTTTGAAGAAAAAATCCATGGCGTTATCTGGGTTAAGAAAGATTTACACGATTGAAAGATTCTTCAAAATACTTAAAACTCGTGCAAACTGCAACATTCCTTTAACATTTATTTTATTTTAAATAGTTATAGCTGTGATTAACACAGTACGCCAGGTTAGTTCAACAGGCAATATGAGAAGATATCGAACAAGGGAGGTTTATTATTGTTTGATTATAGGGTAAGTGTACCAATCGCCGGCACTTTAAGGATTTACATATTTTACAATTTTCGACATTCCTGGTGCATTTATTCCACAATATTGTTTCGAAATTTTGTTTAATATGAATGGCTATTAAAATACTTTTATCTCTTAATTGTGCCAAAAGCGTAAATTTAATTGATTTATTTTATGAAAATGTTAAAATTACAATTTTTGCTGCCGACTTTATGAAACAGTTATCCAATACTCGACATGGCTACACTCACTTTCAAGGTTAAAAATGCATATTATTGTGTAAATCCACTTAAACCAGATTTTTTATATGAATCGGCCTTAGAGTAATTATTCAATTAAATTTATTTCATAAACGAGAACCTAGCCCAATAGGCCATGAGCGATTCCAAGCTTAAAATTACCAGTCTATCATTTAATCGAACATTAACAGTATATATAACGATATCAATTCATAAATTCAAATTGAATGATACGAATAATAAGTGGGCAATATTGCCAATTTTTTAATATTCCATTTTTAAAAAATCAGTTTTTTGTTTTTGTGGCACGTCAATGATTTTTGGTACACATATAGAGAAAAATGTTCTGACTCTAAAACCGTTTGCGATCAAATATTTGGTTAATGTGCGCAAAAGTTATCGAAGTTTTAATTGTAGGCATAATAAAAAATCTTAAAATTACGCCGTTTATTATATTGACCAAAAACGTTGATATATATCTTCCTCCGTAAAATAAGAATATGAATATATAATAATCGCGATAAATATGAGAAAAATAAAAAAATATAGGAGATTAAGTCAATATTTTCATTATATTAATGACATACACTCACCTAAAAATTAATTTAAAAATATCTACATAATCTAAACACCATGATGAATCAAATGATATCAAAATCACACAAGTCCGTGTAGCGGTTTGTAAATCACAGCGACAACAAAAAAAGATATTGAGGGAAAATATTTGCTTTTAGTCCGAAAAAATAATGTCATCATATTTATTTTTTTAATTTTATACAAGAAATTTCGGAAAAAAAAGTTGGGGTTATTCTGCTTTTTACCCGAATTTCGCCGAAAAATTGACATATATAATAATAATCACTTTTTGTGTATAAGTATACGCCTTGCGGATTATATCAAGACCCTTCCGATAAATCTTGGGGTTCTATAAATAGGAATAAATCATAAAATAATATTATGAAATATGTATACATTAAAAATGGCGTCTAAATCGCGTAATTCTAAAAATCATTTGATGGGCATGCGGTTTCCAGGAAGTACTGAAGTTTATCTTCCAATCCATATATATTTCGCGAAATTTCATTTGACAAATTCGTAAAACGCGAATAATTTCCGAAAACTCTATTTGCCACTAACGCGCATCCGATTTCGGTGTGCACCCTAAAAAATACATCGATCTATACCGATTTCAATGTACTCCATTAAGAACCACGGATGTGCCAGCTCATACTATTTTTGACATAAATTGGGTACATCTCTTTTTCGGCTGAAGTTTTTAAAGTTCTCTTTTCGAAAAAGATCAAAATCCGTATGAGGTCATTTATTGAAGCGGAAATGATCCACAGAAAACGCAAGTAAATCCGCGATATTTTCAAATTGTTTGCCAAATTTTGTGTTTTTGGAAGGCCAGTTCCCGCCGTTCTTGTAGATGGATTTTTACGAAGAAGATTTTATATCATCCGAATCGTAAAAAACTTTATTGATCGCGGGTACCCATATCATTCAGTTGACATATCTAAAAATTTGGCCCGAAAAATAGGTTTTTTAGAAATTTGATCGCACAAAATTTTCACCATCGGATGAGTATTACTCTGAAGCTGTGCTACTACATACACAAAATACATATAAAATTACGCAGATTCGCGATTACAATAATCTTATAATTGATTTTTAGAAATTCCTGTTTGCGTATTAAAGCTAGAAGTAAAATTAAAAAAACACTCAAAATCGAGCTTCAAAATGTCAGCATCATTTAAAGGTAGATGCAGTTAAAATTTTGAAAAATGATACATAAGGGGCGTAGTCCCCATTTTGTTGGCTTCTAGTTTTACTTTGACACGAAGTCCGTGAAATGAGTGGCTTAATCACAAATCGATAGAGAACATAAACTGCTTCGCCTAAATCTATTTTTACACATTTTTTTACATTAAAGTAGACACAGCTTCCACCAAAATAAAGTTTGGAGGTCAATATCATAAACAGTTTGCAACGACAGACCAATTAACCCAAAACTATTCACTTTTTTTTCATATACTTAAGTAATTCCCGAGTTATAAATGGGTGAACCTCCGCTTCAGCTATGTTAAAAAATTGGCAATATTGCCCCATAGGCTATATCCTATAGGCAAACTGTTGAAGACCCGAGCAACCCTTACTTGGAGAGACTTCTCCAACAAAGGTTTCAAATAAGGCACATGGATTTGAGTATTTCTCACAGACCTACTGAAAAAAATTAGTTCTACTATTAGGGAAAATTATAAAATTATAAAAAATTTTCCCAACTTTTAGCGAAAATTATAAAAAATGTGCTTATTTTTCACCCATATGATGACTATATCGCCATTTTTTTTTTGTTTCTAAGGGCGAAATCCATAAAAATATCATAGTTACAAATATTTCTTAATAATTTTAAATTCTAAAATATTCCTCTGTATGTTCTTAATTATGAAAAAATCCTGATGAAAAATATATAATTTTTATGCTAGTGCTAGTGGTAAAAGAACCACATTGAGAAATAAACTTAAATTACTGCCTAATAAATGAACTTAGCACGATGAAATTTTACACAGATATAGATGACAATATTATTGAAGATTATTCATGGCAGCTTTCATATATTATTATATATATTACTTATTTCATATATATTAGTTATTTGAAAACATATGCAACAGATGCCGAGTACTGCTACATGCCGACATTAGGAGCACATACCCTATATGGAATAATTTGTTGACCCAATATTTTATCATAGTTACAGTTTTATTATTAAAAATTAATTATGGTTCTACAGATTACACACATTTTAACCTATATAAATAATTTTGTATAAACATTATAAATAATATAAATTATAATAATTATAAAATAGGAATAAAGTTTGAGAGGCATTCTTCTTGCTAAGTAGCTAGAAACTCTCTTAAGTAAGGTGATATCTATTTTATGCCAAAATATCGTATTAAATTGTATCGTTTGATTACGCTGAGATTATAAGATTATTAACAACGAAATTGTATTATAAAATCATGATTATAGTTTTCCTTAAGTATAACCCATATTTTTATATATTTTATATTTTTAATCCATTTTTTTTACTTTATTTAACCTTTTCATAATGACATATACAATTTATCCCTATAGCTTTAGTTGTTATTACTACAATGGCTGGTTATGCAGTGGCTCCAGCTCCATTTGACCCAGCGTCTTTTTTAATGGTAACTGTGGGAACGGGACTGGTGTCTGCCGCCGCGAACTCTGTAAATCAATTTCACGAAGTACCATTTGATTCTCAAATGTCACGAACTAAAAGCCGGGTCCTTGTAACTGGAAAGGTGACACCATTACACGCAATGGGATTTGCTTTAGTTTCAGGAGCTGCTGGTTTGAGTATACTTTATTATGGAGTCAATGGACTTACAGCAGCTTTGGGGCTTAGCAATTTCATACTTTATACATCCATATACACACCAATGAAAAGAATATCTATTTTAAATACTTGGGTTGGGTCTGCAGTAGGTGCTATACCTCCGTTGATAGGTTGGGCTGGGTGCTGTGGAAGCATTGATGCTGGTGCGTGGATATTAGCCGGTTTACTTTATGCTTGGCAATTTCCACATTTTAATGCTCTTTCCTGGAACCTAAGACCTGATTATTCTCGTGCGGGGTATCAAATGATGGCTGTTACAAACCCTGGATTATGTAGAAGAACTGCATTGCGATATACATTCGTTATTACTTTATTGTCAACCCTAGCGCCAATAATGGATGTAACTAATTACTGGTTCGCTTTAGAAACCCTACCTCTGAACGCGTACTTTTCGTATTTGGGTAAGTGTGCATTAAATGCATATGAATATGTCTAATATATTTATTTTTTTATTGCTATTATTATTTTATTCGGAAGAACTTCTTATTATCATCCTCAAGAGTAGACATATTTCCAGTAATTTTTTTTAAAATTCACCCTACTACTTTTTTGTAGTTCTTTAGGAGTACTACCAGTGGTAAATTGAGAGCTCCCGGTTTTTATCTTTTAATATAAAAACGAACTGTGTGAACATTTTGAACTTTAAATATTATTTTCATAAATAGGAAATATCAAACATTATTGTTGCATTTTCAAAATTTGAACTATCCTTGTTTGCAAAGGTTTTTTTTTATTATTTTATCTCTTTTTTCCTCACAAACAAAAATATACGTTTTTGGTACACTATAACTACCATTCCCCCAAGTGGAAAGCTGCGATTTTTATTGTTCCGACAAATGGAACACTACCAAGTATAGATTTGTTTTTATTAAATCGATGTATTTTTACTTATTGAACATGTCTTTATCAAAATCGCAATTTCTAGAAAAAGTGGACTTATTACCTTTTCACGTTAAGCTCGCGTTATCGAAGAAATCGGTTAGTTGAAACAAAAAATTATAAACTTATAATTATATTTCGGATGAATTTTCAGACACTTTACTTCGCTTAAAAGAAGTAAGACTTCTTTGTTGCAGTAACACAAATATAAAATATCTGTAATGACTTCATTTCAAAAGGAAGTGAAATTTTATCTTCAATTAATATTGTTCAAATAAAAAATTGACAATGAATTAACATTTGAACAAATTTACCTGGAAATGTGTTTTATACTTGTCTATAGAAAATCGTAATTTGTTCATGTGATATGTTAGTTCCGAATAATTGGTCTGATGGTATACCTTTTCGGTTCACTAATTCTTAGAGTCCTCGTCCATACGACCTAATTACCGAAATACGTCGAATTCATATCTTAAAGCGAATAATACAAATCGTAGAACAAAATTGAAAAATTATCCAAATATTTTATATTCTCATTCAAAAATCCATACTTTATTGGTCTGTTCCCGTACTAAAATAATCTACTATTTTTTACTAATATTACACTTTTTTCCTTTATGATATCGAAGAAAATGGTAAAATCTAGTAGATTCTTGCAGTAAGGGAACAGACCATATGTTTTGATTTTATTTTCAACAAACGAAAATTCCTACGTTCGACGTGTTTTGCCACGAGCAATACTAAGAACCACACACATTAATGGTCTGTTCCCGTACTGCAAGAATCTACTAGATTTTACTATTTTCTTCGATAACATAAAGGAAATTTTGCTATCGTAGTAAAAAATAGTAGATTCTTGCAGTACGGAAACAGACCATAAATTTCCTATGTATCAGCGTGTATGTATAAATCTATAGTTTAAAGTAACCTTATACTTCTATAATACACATACTAATCCACAAAAAATATCTATTAAATTAAATATACGTTATAATAATTTTATTTTGCAGCTTATAAATTTTACAAGGACTCCAACAGTGGATCTTCACGTAAACTCTTTCGATTTTCATTGGTGCATCTGCCGTTAATCATGATCCTCTTTCTATTAAATAAAAAACGATGGTTTTTCGCAGAAAATACAGAGGACACTAAAAAACATGATCCGGTAGATACAAATGTCGGCAGTTTCATAAAACTTAATTTGCCCCATATTAACGCTTCAACTCTGGAAACATCATCGAAAACTGTGTAAATATGTACATCTACATACATACATATAACAAAATATGTTTTTAATGACAAGTATTTTACATATGTATGTATTTTTGTTATTGTTCATTCTAGTGAAATTTAAATAAACTTAAAAAAGGTAATACCTCACCACCACTGTACATCCATTGCGTTATTATTGATATATGTATATATTTTGGAAAGTCTTGTATTTCGTTACCAAAAACAAAAAGGTTTCCCCGTCTATCAGTCTTTTTTTGTGATCATAGAGTATGTTCGGTTAACGTGCTATAGGTACTGAATTACCATAAAGGAGACAGACAAACTATGAATACACGTGTTTATGTTTTATACAAAAATAATTGGTCTATTCCAGAATTTTTTTTAATAGTAAAGCTAGTAAAAGGGAAACATTTCAAAATCGCTCTCAGAGTACAAAATAATTTGAAAAGTTCGGGAACGCAAATCTAGTAAATATGCCATAATTAGACGGCAATACTTAAAAATCAACATAACAGCCTATCAGAAGTTGGCATTCCCGTTTACCATTTTTACTCGGACAAATTTTTCGAGTAAAAAGTTTACAAAGAGATCGCCATTTTGTTTTGTGTTTTCTGTTTGGTTTAATGTTTTACCAGTTTTGTGGGTTCAGTAAAGGTGCAAAACTTGTTATCTCAAATTCTGTAGATTCTTTTAGGTTCTGGAACGGAACTAATAATTGCAAAATTGGAGTCGACGTTATGATTGATATTTTTGGCAGCATGTGTAAACCAATAAATATTAAAACAAAGTAAACAAATGCTGTTTTCAATCTTATATTATAGAATCTTGATTATCAAATCTGTTGTATTTTTAAAGTAACCAGCGTATTTATTTTTTTTTTAATTTATTAAGTTTTAGCAAAAATATAATAGGTATCGAGGGAAAATGAACGAGATAGTGGATTTTATGAGTCGAAGAAGTATTATGGTCGCTGCGATCCAGGAAACGAAGCTGAACAACACCTGCAGTCTTCAGAGTTGTGATGGATGATTAGAAAGTATCGCACAAGAGGTGGAGGATTAGCATTCCTATTGCACCATTCTGTCCAGTACAGACCTTTCTCGCTTGAGCTAGACTCTAGTGACCCATACATGGAAAGTATCGGGGTAGCGGTCAAGTGTGGTACCGCCGAGGTAGAGGTGCTTAACGTTTACATTCCGCCATTAAATAGCTGTGCCCCGCGTTAGTTGCCTGACATTAGTCATCTTTTGGAAGGCAATAACCGTCTGGTGCTAGGGGATTTCAATGCACATCATGAGTTATGGCATTCCGTCCTAGGTAATGACCAAAGGGGCATGGCGCTGGACGAGCACATTGATAGCTCAACGTTTTGTACGGTGAACGAGGACATACCCACCAGGATAAGGGGAGACTACCAAAGCTCGCCGGACAACTCCATCGTGTCTCCGGGTCTGATGAATGACGTGGCTTGGCAACCCGTCATATCGTTGGGGTCAGACCACCTCCCTATTATCATATCCATCCACCACCCGACTTCATAACTTCTGAACGCCGTACTTTCCTTAATCATGGGAAGGCCAATTGGCAAGAGTTTAGGAATTTCACCAATTCTCGCTTCAGAGAACTGCCCATCCCTTCTGATGCTCGGGTAGCAGAAAGGAATTTCCGGGACATCATAAGCGGAAAATGTGGCTAGAACATCTGAAGTGTTGCAACAGTCGCTCTCGAACCCTGGAAAGAAGGAGGGTCGGACTTCTGTCTCATTTAACGGCGTTGAGGTGACAGATCCGAAGAGGTGCGCCTGTTATTTCAACCGGCAGTTTATGGAGCACCTCGAGAGTGACCGGGCGAAGAGAACAGTATTGCGCCGTATACGATCTCTTCAGGTGGAGGAGGAACCACCACAATTTACGTTGGAGGATGTTGCAAGTGTCATCAGGGGCGCGAAATCATCCAAAGCGCTTGGTCCAGATGGAATTTCCATGGTGATGTTGAAGCAGCTTGATGAGCCAGGAGTAGATTATCTCACCAAAGCCCTCAACTTTTCGTTATCCACCCTATTAGTTCCCGATGCCTGGAAAATGGGCAGGGTGGTCCCGCTAATGAAGCCGGGCAAAGATGCCAGCAAAGGTGAGTCATACAGGCTAATCTCACTTTTGTCGCCAGTAGCCAAGACACTTGAGGATTTACTACTCCCTAGCATTCGTGAATGCTACTCAGTTGCTGATCATCAGCATGGGTTACGGAAGCAGCACAGCACAACAACAGCTTTGCACGCCATTTCCGCACACATAGCAGAAGGACTCAAACAGGACAGTTATAGTGGCGCTAAACCTATCAAAGGCATTTGATACCGTCAGTCACGTCAAGCTGTTCGAGGACATCGAGAGAACAACCCTCCAGACAAGTTTGAAACGTTGGATCGTGAACTATATGTTTGGACGCCAGTCGTACGTGGAATTCAGATACAGGAAATCGAAGGCCCGTAGAGTTAAACAGAGAGTTCCCCAAGAAGATATCTCTCCACCGGACGGCATAAAGATCCTAACATATGCGGATGATTGCACGATTATGGCGTCAGAATCTAAAATTGATGACATTTGCGAGAGGTTGAACCACTATCTCGTGGATATCGCTGACTTTTTCCGGTCGAGGAATATGAAAATATCCGACACTGACTCAACGGCCACACTGTTTACCACATGGACAGCGGAGATGCGGCGGGGGAACTGACAAGGAAACCTTGTTAACGACTTATAAAGCAATAGGCCGGTCTGTGATAAACTATGCGGCGCCAGTGTGGTCCGCTAACGTCAGTGCAACTCAGTGAAAAGTATTGAATCCTGCCAGAATGCCGCCCTGAGGACTGCAACAGGGTGTCTCCTCATGACTCCAATAGACCACTTACATGAGGAGACGAAGATCCTTCCTGTGCGTCAACACAACAAGATGTTGTCGATGCAATACCTGCTTGGGTGTTATATTAGCAGCCATCCAACCCGCTACCTAATGGATAGGCACCCACCGCCCAGGCATGTCAGGACGGATCTCCATGATCTGGAGAGATAGGTCCAGAGGTACAAAAGGGAGCTTCTAGATCAACAGGCCTATCAAGCAGGATTGAACAGTATTCACACGGACGCAGTTGAGGAAACAGTTCAAGAATATCGCGTGAATACCATCCTTGGAGACCATCCGCCTTTGATAGCTGCAGAAGAGCAGCAGCTACCTCGACAAACTAGAGTGGTCTTGGCACAACTGAGATCTGGATGGTGTAGCCGCCTCAATTCGTATTGGGCACGAATTGATGGAGAGGTCGACAATGTCTGCCCGGCGTGTGGTAACGGTAACGGACCACATGACACCCTACAACTGTTCAACTGCCCAGCCAAACCCACTCACCTAACCCCATCTTCTCTCTCAACGCAGCCTTCCTGAACTTGGAGTTAGAGGCAGATCCAGGTTAAAGAAAATAGATAAATACACAGCAGTACTAGCTGCTACAACAACAACAAACGTTTGTGAAATAAATAGTTGTTGTTCATCACTTATTACGGTTGGCGTAGTCGTGTGGAAAATTTGACACTGTCGTATTTATACGACAAGTCGGTACTATGAAAGTCGTTACAATACGCCAAATTTGTCGTGAAAGATTCTGTTGACGACAGCATAGAAATAACTAGGAAAATAATGTTAACATTTTATTTTAACAATATTTACTAATTAAATGTCAAATTACAATTAATTTTATTGAATTTCTCAATATTTATAGGAACTGCACGTGCCAGAAAATTATTCCAGCACTATATAAAATGGGTTCTAAAAGTACAAAATTACAATTACAAAATTTATCGTTGTCGTAAATTTTACACAAAAGACTACGACTACGCCTACGAGAGCTGCCGCACAACGACTACACCTATCGTAATAAGCGTGCATGTGTTTTGTAATTCCACAAATGCTCAACACTTTTTGCTACACACACAAATTCATTCGCTGTCGGGAGCACCGTATACATAAAAAAGGCACTCTTGATAACGGTGTCAATTATATTTACAGTTCTAACAAATTAATGATAAAGCTGATATTTCATCAGGTGGCAGAATCTGTTACTCCATAACTTCCTTCTCATCCATATCTATCTCCGAAACCCGGTTCCCCAAAGGCATTGGCTATGCGGTTACAAACCCATGATGTCCAGCATAAAAAGTTGGTCTCTTAGAGCTATACACAAGTCATTCCACCTTATAGAATTGACCGAACAATGGTACCGCCAAAACCAACCGTTGGTCGTTCTGTTGAGGTGGATTATGAGGAGAAACATTGGACATAAGCCTTGTCATACCAGCTGATATATTTTGTTCAATCAACTGGGTCATTTGTGCACTGAATTGAAAGAAAGATCAATATTTTGAGACACACCAGCATCTTGAACGGTATTCGCTGTGTCAGATGTGGTAGAGTTAGATGTATTCTTCGATTGTGACTTGTGAAGTGCTTGGAGTCCGAATTTCTGTGGAGAATCTCGCATTACAAATCGGACAGAAGGGTCTCGATTTTATACATATATCTAAACATGCCATATGAAAAACGTGACAGCAAACTATCTTTTGTAGCACCGATGTAGATGCAATAGGCTCACCACATGCATTACAACTTGACAGATGACCACTTTCAGAAGTGTCAGATAAATTTTCAGGATTCTTGGCCATAATGTATTAGTATGAGTATAACTGAGTAAAATTCCTCTTTAGAGTACGCAAACTTGTGCAATATGAAATACCCCAAACTGGAACAAAATCTTCACACTGCCTTCTATGAATATATATATATATATATATATAATGATCAAATTTACCAAGAACAACCAAATAAAAGCAAATATATATTCTGTAATTCGTATGACAGTTTTAGGTTAGAATATCTCTTGTTTAACAGAAAGCTATATAAAGGTATAACGAACTTTGATAAAGGGGATCATCAGTTTCAAAATAGGTTAATTCTTACTTTTTTATGTTT